GCCCGGAGCCCCTGGCCCCTCCCGCCTGGCTGCACAGAGCCCCTGGCCCCTCCCGGCCTGGCTGCACAGAGCTCCTGGTCCCTCCCAGCGTGGCTGCACAGAGCTCCTGGTCCCTCCCAGTGTGGCTGCACAGAAACCCAGGGCCTCTGGGCTAGCTGCAGCAGTTATGAATGTAAAAAAATGTTGAGTGCCAGCACCTCTTTCATTACAAATTAAACACTGGGCACTGGCGCTGGTCTATCAGGTTGGGGGATTGGCTGATTTAGGGGGTTGGGGCACAGGCTCTTCCCCTCTGGGGGCACTGGCTTCTGTGAGTTCTGGGTGTCCCAGTTTCCAGTGTGGCAGAGGGACCAGAGCTGGGAGCCAGGACTCTCCCTGGCTTGGGATTTTTCTGTGGATCAGTGGCCTCTGGCCCCAAAAATGTTCCCCACCCCTGGTCTAATGGTAAAAGCAGGGGCTGGCAGCTAGGCCTATGGGATTCTTTCTTGGGTGGGACAGTGTCACTCACTGTCCATGTGTAACCCCTTTGCTTTCTGTGCAGGTCTCCCTGAGATGCAGACCCCCCCCCGGATATGAGGCATGAACCCCTCATCCCCTGCCCATGCTGCATAGCTGTAGCACTTAGCCTAGACCTGGCTCCTGAGCTCTGATTGAAGCCCACAGGATCTGAGCCAGCCAGCAGGGGGCAGCAGGGACATGGACAGATGGACATACACACACTCTCTCTCTCTCTCACTCCCCCACAGGAAGCAACAAGGGGGCAACAGGGACACAAACACACAGGCTATGTCTACACTGGCAGCTTCTTGGGTAAGAACATCTTGCGCAAGAAGACATCCACACTGCTATGTGCAAGCTGTGCTTTTGCACAAGAGCATCCATGGCAGTGTGGACGCTCTCTCGCGCAAGAAAGCTCTGATGGCCATTTTAGCCATAGGGGTTTCTTGTGCAAGAAATCCCTGCCGAGCGTCCACACCTCCCTCCTGCACAAGAGGACTTACACCTGTTAAAAAACAGCATAGCTCTTGCACAAGGAGCCCTCTCTTACCACGCCTTACTGTAAATCTTCTTGCGCAAGAGTAGGCAGGCTGTGTGGCCTCTCTGCAGATTCTTGCGCAAGAATGGTCACTGTTGCATAAGAACCCGCCAGTGTAGACATAGCCACAGAGCAGGGCCTCCCTGACAGCAGGGGGGGATACCTCTCAAAATGCACTGTGCCCATCAGCTGTTTGGCGGCACAGCGCAGTAGTCTGGACGCTTCGCGGTCGACAAGGGAAGCTTTGTCGACTGCCCTGTTATGCCTCGTGGAATGACATTTTCCTATGTCTAGAAAGCTAATCTACACGACTCCGTCGACAGAGTCATGTATTCTAGACATACCCATAGGCTACGTCTAGACTGGCATGATTTTCCATAAATGCTTTTAACGGAAAAGTTTTTCCGTTAAAAGCATTTGCGGAAAAGAGCGTCTGGATTGGCATGGATGCTTTTCCGCAAAAAAGCCCCGATTGCCATTTTCGCGATTGGGGCTTTTTTGTGCAAAACAAATCTGAGCTGTCTACACTGGCCCTTTTGCGCAAAAGGACTTTTGCCCGAACGGGAGCAGCATAGTATTTCCGCAAGAAGCACTGATTTCTTACATGAGATCGTCAGTGTTCTTGCTGAAATTCAAGCGGCCAGTGTAGACAGCTGGCAAGTTTTTCCGCAAAAGCAGCTGACACAGCCGAACTGTTTTGTGGAAGAGTTCTTGTGCAAAAAGTCATCCAGAAGAGAACGTCTACACTGGCACGTGCTTTTGTGCAATAGTGTCTATGGCAGTGTGGACGCTCTCTTGCGCAAGAAAGCTGATGGCCATTTTTGCCATAGGGGTTTCTTGCGCAAGAAATTCATGATGCTTGCCTACAGTGCCCTCTTATGCACGAGCTCTTGCGCAAGAGGACTTATTCCTCATGGGGGGAGGAATAATTCTTCCAGAAGAAGCCCTGTTTTCTGATGCTGTACTGTAAATTTACTTGCGCAAGAACACGCATGCAGTGTAGACACCTGGAAAGTTTTTGCACAAGAACAGTTGTTCTTGTGCAAGAAGTCACCAGTGTAAACGTAGCCTAGGAGTGCTAAGGGCTCTGTGTGTGAGGGGAAGGATGACTGTAGGGGGCTAGGACAGGAGTGTGTCCATCATGGGCTATGGTGAAAAACACCTGACTCTCACACCTGGATCAGGGCTGATCCGGTCCAGCAGAAGGCAGCAGGGTCTCCCCCCCCCCCCCCTTCTCCCCCTGTCTGTAGTTGCTGACTGGAGACAACCCTACCTGGTTCCCCTCTGTCTCCTGGCAATTACGGCCCTGGGATAGTAGGGAGCCATTGTGGCCCAGAACTGAACCCCTCCCCAGTCCTCACTCCCGGCCTGCCCTCACCTTGCCTCCCTCCATTGCCAAGCTTGCTCCCCAACTCTGCCATGCCCCAACTCTGCTAGTGCTCTATAGCTGCAATCCCCTGCTGTCCCAGCCCTGAGCTCCCCCCAGCCTTGCTGGCCCCTGCACTCCCGACCCACAGGCCCTGCCAGCCCAGCCCTGCCGGCACCCCTCACTCCTGACCCATAGTCTCCTGCTAGCCCAGCCTTGCTCCCTCCAGCTCTGCTGGTGCCCCTCACTCCTTACCTGCAGCCCCTGCTAGCCCAACCCTGGGCTCTCCCCTTCAGCTCTTCCAGTGCCCCTCAGCTGCAGCCTCCTTTAGAGGTTTGGAGAGATCCTGAGTTGGGATCTCTGAGTTGGTGCTTTCTGTATGTGTGTGTAGGAGTCTGACCCATGGGCGGTGTGTGAGCAGAAACAGAGCAGTTTTGATCCCCTCCAGCAGGGAGCGACAGGACAGAAAGAGAGCAGCACCCATGCCCTCCAGCAGGACACACACTTACACAGACAGGACCTTTCCTTTCCAATAGGGGGCTGCAGGACACTTGAGTTTGTTGGATCTCAGCTCCTCTCTTGCTAATCTTTGACCCATCAAAGAGGTTCACGTGCCCAGGCCCTGGCACTGCCCAGTGATCCCCAGCACGAGTACCTATCCCCCTTGTACAGGTGGACTGTCTCCCTCCAGCTGGCCAGTGGGGGGCAGAGTCCTCTTGAAGTCTGAGCCCACAATGCCCCAGAAGTCTGAGCACAGCTGTGCTCTCTCAGCTCCTCTCTTGCTAATCTTTGACCCATCAAAGAGGTTCACGTGCCCAGGCCCTGGCACTGCCCAGTGATCCCCAGCACGAGTACCTATCCCCCTTGTACAGGTGGACTGTCTCCCTCCAGCTGGCCAGTGGGGGGCAGAGTCCTCTTGAAGTCTGAGCCCACAATGCCCCAGAAGTCTGAGCACAGCTGTGCTCAGCCTGAA